TCATTTCGTCGGAAGTTGTCACCTGCACGGCTTCCCGAGTGAACCTTTCGATGTATTTTCGGAGAGGTTCGTCGGGGCCTTGGATGATTGCCCCGAGGACTGCTTCCGTCTTCGGGTGACGCCGGGATGCCGTAAAGTGTTTGGAGAACAGGTCCTTCAAGACCCTCCACGACGTAACTGATTCGGGCTCCAGACTTTTGTACCAGGTCATAGCGCCTTTCCTCAGAGTCGTCAGAAAGAGTCTGCACTTGATAGCTCCCCGGACGTTTCGGTAGTCGAGCATAGCCTCGATGTCTTCCAGGTGATCGTCCGGGTCGGAGGTGCCGTCGTATGTCGACAGCGTCGGCGGTTTCTCCATCCCCTGGGGTATGGGGGCAGCCATGATCTCCCGGGACAGCGGGGTGCGGTAATCATCCTCGTCGCTGTGCGCCGGGGATCTGTGAGGAGATGAGTCGTTCAAGGTATGTCCCTGGTTTCGGATTCTCGTTCTCCTGCTTGAGTTCTCGCCTCGGGGTTCCTCGGTTGGGATCGTCGCGGCGTTCTGGTTCCTCACGCGAACGTGTCTTGCCGGGGATCTGGTGCGCTCTCGTGTCACCTGCGGGCGGTGTCTCTCCAGCCGCGGTCGGCGGTTTCTGGGTCTAGGTGAGGGACTCCTCGATCCTCCGTTTTGGTCTTCCCGCTGGGGGTACCTCGGAGGGCCGATGCGCTCTAATGCTCCAATTCTCGCATTTTGTTGGAACAGCAGCTGGTTCGTCTGGTTGATGGCCGTAAAGAGAGCGGCCACCGTTGGGTCTGCTCCCGCCGGGATGGGAACGGGGTGGAATGCTGGTGGGCTCGGGGGTCGGTGATCGGCCTGGAGGGGTCGTTCCGCGGATGATGGTGAAGCAGTTTGCCCGTCCCTTTCGTCGGCTTCCGTCGAACGTGTCGTTCCTGTTTGCTTCCCGTTGGTGGCGACGTTGAGCGCAAGGTCGTGCGGAGTGTCGTTGCGGTGTGGACTAGCCATGATCGTGGAGGTTTGGTGAAACTTTTGGTTTTCTGCTCGGAGTAACGGGAAAGTTTCAGATTCCCACAGACGGCGCCACTGATCTGACCTGATCAGAAGGGGATCACGATATGGCCACGCGCTACTGGACGGCTACCTGTTCACCGGTGATGAGAAGGAGGAGGGGGGTGTACCTGCAAGACACTCCGATGCCAAAGTAAGAAGTTGGGCAGAGTGGAAGCAATAGTACAGAAAAGGGCAAGAAGAGAGTTACCTGACCCTCTTGAGGAAGAGGGTATTTATAGAGAGACCCCAGCGCTGGGCCAACGGTCATTTGTGATGGGCTGGATGACCAGGCCCAACCCTAATGACTGCTAGGGCTTACGTGGCGTAGTGAAGACCAGGACGTGGTCTTCGCCCTAGTCCAACTGCTCCTAGATCTCCGGAAAGTGGGTTTGACCTGCTCTTTCGGAGGTGGGCAGTTGGTTGATGACGTGTCCCCGCGGAGGGGAGGTTGATGACGTGTCCCCGCGGAGGGGAGCACGTGGAGAACGTGCGCCGAGCACGTTATTCTCCCCGCGGAGGGGAGCACGTGGAGAACGTGCGCCGAGCACGTTATTCTCCCCGCGGAGGGGAGCTCGCGAGATACTCCGGAGCGCGTTGTTCTCCCCGAGGAGGGGAGGAACCAGGGCCGCGCTCTGGTGAGCCGGGGACGGTTCTGCTCGTCTGGTACGATGGATGATGAAAGGTTGTTGGGGAGTTGCTTGTGTTCGGCGGCATGCCCTGCTCGTCTCGAGGGATGCACGTGCCCGGTGTGCCCGATTCGCCTGTTGGGTCGTTCGTGGTATTGGGCCTACCGAGGTTGGGCCCATACCGGAACAAGTTATTTTCATAAACTCTCCTGAACAAATAATCTCACAAACCTTATGTTTTTAAAATTTTAAAACAGAAAATAAAAGGGTGTTGAGCTATTGATCAGACACTAATTGCCAAATTCCTAATTATAAGAACCTACTTTTATGTAAGTGATTAGAGACTAATCATTGGCAACCATTGCATCAGCAACAAGGCTATCCTGCTTCTTGATAATCAGCCTCTTTATGGAGTAGCCTTCCTCGCCTGATAAAGTTTCTTCAGCATCTACAATGATTGAGTCCTCTTCTCTGAAATCTCCCCTTAAAACTCCCATTGTAATTTTATTTTCTACCGATTGTTGTATTACTCTTTTAACTGATTTTGCTCCAAAATTAGGATCAAAACCCAATACACCAAGAAGATTAACAGCTTCTTGTGTGTAATAAAGATCAATTTTCTTCTATTTGAGCCTGTACTTCACACGTTCCATCTGCAGCAGGTCAGAAAACATATATTAGCACACATTCAGCAATTAGTATGAATCAAACAAAACGTTTCACAAGATACCCTCTCTTTTTCCAATCCCATTACCAAGATCCTATAGTAGTTTCTATACACACACTTAATAAAATGACAGAACATAGATATTATATTATTCTAATGGTGTTGTTAGTGTCGTTTCCCTATTAGAGTAGGATATCTGAAATATTCATTTACAAGATAAAGTGATAAAAATAAAAATACCAAAGCCAACTATTTCACTCCACATTTTCTACTCTGATAAAATAACAAGTTGTCCTTATAAAAATTAATTGCTATAAAATTTCCAGACTCCAAAGAAAGGAAAGAAGCAAGATAATGAGGTTGATAGAGGTAATATGAGCACAAAATTACCTGAAGCTCCACTATTTTGCTGATCTCATTGGAATCCAAAGGCTGGAAAACTGTATACTCATCAATTCGATTCATGAACTCTGGGCGGAATGTTTACTTAGCCAACTCAACAACTTGCCTTTTCATCTGATCATAAACTGCACTTTTGTCATCCTGTGTGCTGCGAAGGGTTTCAAGTATGTAATGGGAGCCAATGTTGGAAGTCATAATCACAACACAATTTGTGAAGCTAACAGTCCTTCCTTGAGAATCAGTAATTCGTCCATCATCCAACAATTGCAACAAAATATTGAAGACATCATGATGTGCTTTTTCTATTTCATCAAATAGTACCACGGAGTAGGGTCTTCTGCGGACCACTTCAGTTAGCTGACCACCTTCTTCATAACCAACATAAACAGGTGGAGCCCCAACTAAACGTGAAACAGCGTGTTTCTCCATGTACTCACTCATATCGATTCTAACAAGAGCATTTTCTGTGTTAAACAAGTAATTGGCCAAAGCCTTTCCAAGCTCAGTTTTGCCAACACCGGTTGGACCCATGAACATAAAACTTGCAATTGACCTGTTTGGGTCAGACAATCCAGCCCTTGAACGGCGAATAGCATACCACAAAGATCTGAAGGCTTAAGAAAGAGGGGAGAAACGAGAGAAATTATTTTTCTTTTCATTATGAAAAGCTTGTTATTTTAGTAGGATTAAAAAAATTCAAAATAGTAAAGTGAACAGAAAAATAAACTGTTATAATAAGTCAACTCTTGTCATATAAATGCTAGAGTCAAAACCTACCTTTGTTTGGTAGGAAGCGTTCTGTGATGTATCGATCTGCAAGGACTGCGGCTGAAACAAGTGCACTGTCTGATATTTTGACTCCATGGTGCAATTCATAACGCTCGCGCTACCCTCGGAGAATGGATATTGTATCTTCAACAAATGGTTGACAGCAAAATACTTGTTGAAATCTACGCTCAAGTGCAGGATCCTTCTCAATGTATTTTCTATACTCATTCAATGTAGTTGCTCCTATACATCGAAGTTCCCCCTTCCAAGCATTGGCTTCAACAAGTTTCCAGCATCCATTGCACCACTTTTAGCTCCTATTAGTTAACCAAATGACCAAAAACACCATATTACTTATTGGTTAATTGCAGAGCTGGAACAGAACTAGGGGGACGATGCTTAATCAATCAGAATGTCACACCAATCTTGTTAAAAGTGCAAGCAATCCTCAAAGGCAAATGTACAAACTTAGAAACAGAATATTTGATATTAACTAATTAAAATATTGATTATGGAGTGCAGACAGTTGTTTACTGCATTATTTTTTCAGTCTGTTGCTTTGAGGGAATAGATCAATTAGCATACTCATTAATTGAAGAATATACCCAAGAACAGTTATCAACGTTCATTATACTTGGGAAGGAGTGCACTGAAGGTAGGTACAGAAGAAGGTGGTCAGCTAACTGAAGTGGTCCGCAGAAGACCCTACTCCGTGGTACTATTTGATGAAATAGAAAACGCACATCATGATGTCTTCAATATTTTGTTGCTGATTTTCAAGGAAGGACTGTTAGCTTCACAAATTGTGTTGTGATTATGACTTCCAACATTGGCTTCCATTACATACTTGAAACCCTTCGCAGCACACAGGATGACAAAAGTGCAGTTTATGATCAGATGAAAAAGCAAGTTGTTGAGTTGGCTAAGCAAACATTCCGCCCAGAGTTCATGAATCGAATTGATGAGTATACAGTTTTCCAGCCTTTGGATTCCAATGAGATCAGCAAAATAGTGGAGCTTCAGGTAATTTTGTGCTCATATTACCTCTATCAACCTCATTATCTTGCTTCTTTCCTTTCTTTGGAAAACTGTTCTTGGGTATGCTAATTGATCGTTGATAACTGTTCTTGGGTATATTCTTCAATTAATGAGTATGCTAATTGAACGTTGATAACTGTTCTTGGGTATATTCTTCAATTAATGAGTATGCTAATTGATCTATTCCCTCAAAGCAACAGACTGAAAAAATAATGCAGTAAACAACTGTCTGCACTCCATAATCAATATTTTAATTAGTTAATATCAAATATTCTGTTTCTAAGTTTGTACATTTGCCTTTGAGGATTGCTTGCACTTTTAACAAGATTGGTGTGACATTCTGATTGATTAAGCATCGTCCCCCTAGTTCTGTTCCAGCTCTGCAATTAACCAATAAGTAATATGGTGTTTTTGGTCATTTGGTTAACTAATAGGAGCTACAAGTGGTGCAATGGATGCTGGAAACTTGTTGAAGCCAATGCTTGGAAGGGGGGAACTTCGATGTATAGGAGCAACTACATTGAATAAGTATAGAAAATACATTGAGAAGGATCCTGCACTTGAGCGTAGATTTCAACAAGTATTTTGCTGTCAACCATTTGTTGAAGATACAATATCCATTCTCCGAGGGTTGCGCGAGCGTTATGAATTGCACCATGGAGTCAAAATATCAGACAGTGCACTTGTTTCAGCCGCAGTCCTTGCAGATCGATACATCACGGAACGCTTCCTACCAGACAAAAGTAGGTTTTGACTCTAGCATTTATATGACAAGAGTTGACTTATTATAACAGTTTATTTTTCTGTTCACTTTACTATTTTGAATTTTTTTAATCCTACTAAAATAACAAGCTTTTCATAATGAAAAGAAAAATAATTTCTCTCGTTTCTCCCCTCTTTCTTAAGCCTTCAGATCTTTGTGGTTATTATGTTTTAGAAGTTAAAAGTAGTCACCTGATGCCATCAGGTTGGAAAGTTTTCTGGTTGATTTGTTGATTCTGATATGTAATTAAATTTCTTCCTTTAGCTATTGATCTTGTCGATGAAGCTGCTGCAAAACTGAAGATGGAGATCACCTCTAAGCCTACAGAATTGGATGAGATAGATAGAGCGGTCTTGAAACTGGAGATGGAAAAACTCAATGACCTTGATATTACTGAGATTGTAAGCCAATGGACTGGTATACCACTATCAAACCTCCAACAAACAGAGAGAGAAAAGTTAGTTTTGCTGGAACAGGTTCTTCATAAGAGGGTGATTGGTCAGGATATTGCTGTAAAATTCGTGGCTGATGTTATTCGCCGTTCAAGGGCTAGATTGTCTGACCCAAACAGGCCAATTGCAAGTTTTATGTTCATGGTTCCAACCGGTGTTGGCAAAACTGGGCTTGGAAAGGCTTTGGCCAATTACTTGTTTAACACAGAAAATGCTCTTGTTAGAATCGATATGAGTGAGTACATGGAGAAACACGCTGTTTCACGTTTAGTTGGGGCTCCACCTGGTTAAGTTGGTTATGAAGAAGGTGGTCAGCTAACTGAAGTGGTCCGCAAAAGACCTACTCCGTGGTACTATTTGATGAAATAGAAAACGCACATCATGATGTCTTCAATATTTTGTTGCAATTGTTGGATGATGGCCGGATTACTGATTCTCAAGGAAGGACCGTTAGCTTCACAAATTGTATTGTGATTATGACTTCCAACATTGGCTCCCATTACATACTTGAAACCCTTCGCAGCACACAGGATGACAAAAGTGCAGTTTATGATCAGATGAAAAGGCAAGTTGTTGAGTTGGCTAGGCAAACATTCCGCGCAGAGTTCATGAATCGAATTGATGAGTATATAGTTTTCCAGTCTTTGGATTCCAATAAGATCAGCAAAATAGTGGAGTTTCAGGTAATTTTGTGCTCATATTACCTCTATCAACCTCATTATCTTGCTTCTTTCCTTTCTTTGGAGTCTGAAAATTTTATAGTAATTAATTTTTATAAGGACAACTTGTTCTTTTATCAGAGTAGAAAATGTGGAGTGAAATAGTTGGCTTTGGTGTTTTTCTTTTTATCACCTTATCTTGTAAATGAATATTTCAGATATCCTACTCTAATAGGGAAACGACACTAACAGCACCATTAGAATAATATCTATGTTCTGTCATTTTATTAAGTGTGTGTATAGAAACTACTATAGGATCTTGGTAATGGGATTGGAAAAAGAGAGGGTATCTTGTGAAACGTTTTGTTTGATTCATACTAATTGCTGAATGTGTGCTAATATATGTTTTCTGACCTGCTGCAGATGGAACGTGTGAAGTACAGGCTCAAACAGAAGAAAATTGATCTTCATTACACACAAGAAGTTGTTAATCTTCTTGGTGTATTGGGTTTTGATCCTAATTTTGGAGCAAGACCAGTTAAAAAAGTAATACAACAATCGGTAGAAAATGAAATTGCAATGGAAGTTTTAAGGGGAGATTTCAGAGAAGAGGACTCAATCATTGTAGATGCTGAAGAAACTTCATCAGGCGAGGAAGGCTCCTCCATAAAGAGGCTGATTATTAAGAAGCAGGATAGTCTTGTTGCTGATGCAATGGTTGCCAATGATTAGTCTCTAATCACTTACATAAAAGTAGGTTCTTATAATTAGGAATTTGGCAAATCAGTATCTGATCAATAGCTCAACACCCTTTTATTTTTTCTGTTTTAAAATTTTCAGAAATTAAAATCAATTTTTGTTAGAGTTTTAAAAATTTTTAAAAATAAAATCAGTTGAGTTGTGAAAATTTTAAAATTAGAATAATTTTTATACATTGACATAAAAATAAATATTTATGATAAACATATATCTTTAATCAAATAGCTCATATCATTAGGCATTTAAATAATTGAAGTATTACTGTTGGTCAAGGTCAAGAGTTCACACTGATTTTTTTTAATAATATATAAATATAAGTAAGTTAATATTTATAAATCAGTAGTGGTTTTTTTTTTCTTTCTAAAAATTAAATATTATAAATATATAATATAACTGTTTAGTAGTAATTTTAATAACTGTGGTTAAAAATGGTAGTTGTTGGTGGATGTGTATCAAAGAGACGGTGGTTGGTTATCTTAATGGATACTGGTGGTCAATAAAGTAATGGTTGATGGTAATGATCAACGGTGGTATACAATTGTAAGAGTTGTGATTTGAGGGTAACAAACGGTGGGGACCCCCGTTAGATTGGTGATTAGTAATAATTATGATTAGAGGTGGAAATAGTCTGGATTGAGTTAAACTTTGTCAAGTTTGAGTTTGACCTGCTAAAAAGACAAAGGATCTATGATTTATTAGAGGTTTATTTTTTGACCTGAGTCTGATTTTTTTGAAGGTTTGATTAACCTATTTAAAAAATATATATCAATTAAACATATGTACATAAGCAACTCAAATAATATTTAAATATATTAGAAAATCAAAAGTATAATGAGACTAAATGTTTGTTTACGTAGACTTATTTGAACTTACATAAAAACATAAGCTTTGTGAGATTATTTTGTTAAGAAGAGTTTATGAAAATAACTTATAATATTATTCTTAAACTTTTTTCAACATATTTTTACAAATTCTTCAAGATAACAAACTTTACTTTTGTATTTTAATATAAAATACAAAGTAAAATAAAAAAATAATCTATTTATTTATTATTTATATTTAATAAAATAGGTCGGTCTAATAGATTTAAATTTTTTTTTTAATATGTGGCCTGATCTATTTAACTAAATAGACTTATAAAATAACATAGGTCTTTTCAATTTAAAAAAAGTTTGGTTTGACTTTAGTCTATGTAGGCTAGGTTGTAAATTCATGTTAGTTGATCGGACTAATTTCCACCCTTAATTATGATAGAGCGGTGATTAGAGGTTAATCAAGGTGACTAGTTGTTACATTGGTGGTTAGTGATAATTATGATGCTGATTGGTGTTAACCAAAGTGATGGTCAAATTAGAGATGATGACTTAGAGATGATGACTGAATAAAATGGTGATCAAAAGTGCAAAGTGGTGGTTGAAGATGGATGACCGTGATTGGTGATATTTGGTGGTTTTTGAGATAGTTGGCAATGGACATAGTGATGGTTGGTGGTGGTCATAATTAGGGGTGTCAAAACGGGTTGGGTTCATCAAGCCCGCTCGTTTAACTCACAATTTTTTGTAGAGCGAGGTTTTTGACTCAATATCTTAAGTTGGTCCACCTCGCCTAACCCACTTTTAAAATGAGCCGAGAGCGGGGCGAGACACGTTTTTCTTACAGACTTTTTGTTTTAATTTTTTTATTTACTTGAAATTAAAACAATATTAATATGGTTTGTAGTATACATACTTTTTAAAAAAACTCTTAATTCTTCAAACCCTAATATTCATTTTTCACATAATAGTGATGGTCAATGGTGACTAACTATAATCAAAGTGATGGTTGGTGGTAATCATAATAGTGATTGAAATAGTGATCATGGTATATGACGGTCATAACAATAATTGAAATAATGGCCAATGACCAATGGAGTGTTGTTTTATCTTTTTTTTTTTAATTTTAATTTAAAATATATTTTTTTTATGTTATATCACGCGCACGCTCGCACGCCCACACACCCACATCCACACACACACAAACACATGCAACATATGCACGCGCACACACAAACCCACACGCACACACGCACACGCACGCGCGCACACACACACCCACACACACATATTAATCTGATCTGAAATGAATGTGCAAGAAATACACATATTCCTACATTTAAGATCATTAATCATAAGCTCTTAAAATTCTGTCATCTACCTTTTGTTTCATCCTTAACTCCTGTAAAAGTTATTAACATCTGATCATTAGGATATCTACCTATGGTTGTTAAAATTTGTCATATATAAAGATCCTTTAAAAAACAGTCATCAAGATCTATGACATGCCTACATAACTTGAAACTCTCATTATATGATGCATAACATATGTATAGTCTTTTAAAATTGGGTATTTTATCATCAATTTCTTATTGAACAGGTTGAACATTTAACTTGATGTTGATCCAGTATGTGTTCTTAATATTTCATGATAATAGTCATAAATTCTGTAATTCCCTAGGAATGAACCATCAACCATTATCTTGACATTATACTCTCTACTAAAAATATGGATGTCAACTATTTTCCCAATTTACCAAGATTCCTCCTTGAGCAACTTGGCATAGTCTGCTTTCCAGTCACAACCCTCTTTACATCTAATCCTTACCCTTTTTTGTTGTCATTTTTAGTGAACTTAAGGTTCTTACGAGACTGGATAACATATGTTGTTATTACTTCCTTAAAATCACCTTTGATACTAAATTATGTTCCTAACTTTCATTTGTAATTTGTAATGTCTTTCTACAACTTGAACATTAGGTACTTCTTAGTTGTTCTACTACTCTCGTCACACTCACATCCACTTTCCAACTCTTCACTTTCATTTAACTCCTTTTAGATTCTTCAATGTTTTCTTTCCACTTTTAATTTTGTTTTTTCCTTGTTCCCTCTTGATCATTCTAATAGTAATTAGAAAATTAGATTACCAATTTCATCTTCCACAAAATCATCATTCTCATTAGAGTCATCATCAAATGTTATTTTTAAAGCATTATCATAATCAAATCTTTCATCATCACTGCCATCAAAGCTTACATCACAATTTATCACACATGCATTACCAACATCTGTCTACTTCTCATCATGCACCTCACTACCACCACACACGTCATCATGTTGCACCTCACCAACATTAACATGACTAACCTATATATCATCAAGTTTCCCCTCACCAATATTAACATTATCAGCCTTCACATCATTACGTTGTCCCTCACAAATATTAACATCACCTTCCTTTACATTATCATCCTTGACCTCACCATGCTTCATAATCCCCTCTAATTACTTGTTCATAAAATATAACAAGCAGATCTTCTTCCTCAAAATTTACAATTTCCTCATCATTTACATCTTCATCATCATCAAGATGACCATCATAATACTTAGACTGATGTGAAGAAGATATTCACCATCTATCAAGTAGACTAAATACACAATTTTATATACCTGATACAGTAGTGAAAGACACCTCAAAATCTTCATTTATATTCAGATCCTTGAATTGACTAAGTGTAGGTTTTAACCAGTTTTGTGCACAAATCAATGTCTCTACCATTTCAGGGCTTAACGAGCTTCTCTATGTGTCTAGAACTCTGCCCCCAGTATTAAACGTGCTTTCAGAAGCGACAGTTGACACAGGACTAGCTAAAACATCTTTCACCATTTTTGCTAAAACAGGGTATCTACAAGAGTTTTGTTTCCACCACATAAGGATGTCAAAGTTAACATCAACAGCACAATTGTCATCTAGGTACCTCTCAAGATCATTTTTTTTATCTATTGAATCTTTTTGTTTTAGGTGCTCCTTAAAAGCTTCAACTCTTGCATTATGAGATGGAATTTCAGTAGTAGGAACAACACCATCACCAGATGAACTACCCTCAATAGGACTAGTACCATGTTGTTGGTCATGTATACCCTTGTACCAATTGAATAGTTTAAACAACTCTTTTTTTATCACATCAATCAGATTAGTAAAAGGCACAGACTCATCATTATACATATCATTAAAACACCACTCCACATATCCTAACTTGTACTGAGGGTCAAAAATCACACCAAAGTAAATAAACTTGTTGATATTTTCAATTTCTCCCCAATATTTGTCATACTTCTGCTTCATTTCATATCCCATTGAGGCTAAAATTGTGTTCAAGCTCATGGATGATCTTTTTAGCTCACAGTGGATTGAAGCTAGTTGGTGGAATGCCTTATGAAGGAACACTTGTTTTGACGAAGAAAATTCCATAGTAGCTTCATAGAAAATTTTGAAAAAACTTACAAGACACCTAACATTATCCCAATCATTAAGAGTAGGGGGACCAACTAACCCAAAAAATTCCAAATAGCTAAAATCTTCACCTTCCATTTTCTCAAATGCTGCTTGATACTTTTCAGCAGCATCTAACATCAAATAACATGAGTTCCACCTTGTTGGAACATCAAGGCATAAAAGTTTCTTACAATTAATTCTAGCAAACTCAATACATTCTTTGAACTTTGATGATCTTTGGGGTGATGATCTCACAAATCTAACAGCATTTCTAATGGCACAAATAGATAATTCATTTTGTTTTAAACCATCACGAACCACCAGATTTAGAATGTGTGCACAACAACGAAGATGAAAGAAAGACCCGTCACTCATTAAACCACCCATATTATTAATCCTCTTCTTCAAATAAGCAGCAGCTACATCATTAGATGTTGCATTGTCCACTGTGATTGTGGACACATTCCTTATTCCCCACTCCCTTAATATCTCTTCAACTTGCCTACCAATTGTCTCACCCTTATGATTAGGAACTAAACAAAAACTTAGAATTCTATTTTCATACTTCCAATCATTGTTAATAAAGTGTGCAGTTAGGGTCATGTAGCTAAGATTCTGAATGGATGTCCAACAATCAGTGGTTAAGGCTACCCTATTGCAATCAG